GAGGCGGAGACCTTAGAAAGTTTTGGGTAGAGGAGCTTACATTCTAAAAAGTACCAAGTGTTTATTTTTTTCATGTAATCACTTTTGAATTCATTCCTCTTTTTCTTCTTCGTTCCCCTTTTCTCTTCCCATTACCACTTTTCCCACCTGGACCATTATTTTAGCTTCTTGCTTGCTTATTTTCTAGTCCTTTCTTCCATCTGAAACTTAGTCATTAGATAAATCTGAATATAGCACTTGGTTCTAGTCCATCTCACCAGCATTCTTTTTCTTTCTTTCTTTTTCTTCTTTTTTTTTTTTTCCTGGTTTTCCACTACTACATGTTAAAATTCAGACTCAAGGTGGTACATTCCTCCATAGCCTTGTTCCCAGAGCTACCTGCTCAGACTCTTCTCTGAATGACAGGCTGAGTCACCCTCGTGCTGCGTGTCATGAGCTTTTGTGTTTTCTGTCCTTCACTCCCCCCTGAACTGCCCCACCTCTAATGCCTTCTCTTGTGTCTCCAGTACAGCAATCCTCCAATCTTTGGAAAACCACCAGAAGTTTCCAAAAATCCTTCATCCTCTCACCTATACCACTCATTCCTGTAGTTTTTGATCCAAAATTCATTGAATACAAATTTCGTGCCAGCGATTGTGATGGAGCTTAAGGATTCACAGGCGCATTAAGACAGATGTGTCTGCCCCAGGAGCTGATGGCCCTGTGGGGGAGACGGAGAACGCACTATTGCAAGGAAGTGGAAACAACCCAAGTGCCCGTCAATCCATGAGTGGATTATTAAAATTTGGTATATGTTTACAATGGAATATTACTCAATCATAAGAAACGACAGTGATCTAGAACCTCTTATACTTTCCTGGATTAAACTTAAGCCCATTATCCAAAGTGAGGCACCACAAGAGTGGAAGAATGGGCTCCACTTGTCCTTGCCATCAAATTGGTACTAACTGATCAACACTAGGGTGCTCACATGGCAGAAATACTCTCCAGGGATTAGGGGGATGGGGGGATAAACCCGCAACTAAAGGACATGGGGAGCATTGTAGGGGGGAAGGGCACGCCTTTAACCCTCGCTTGGGTGAGGCAAAGACATAAAGTGTAACCAAAATGTGTGTGCCCTCATAATACCCTGAAATAAAAAAATAAAATAAGGTAAACCCAACCCTGAAGTTTGTGCTAAGGGCCAGGAGAGCAAAGAACATTTTGCTCTGAGTCAGAATGATTGGCTAAGCTGGGGCTAACTAGCTTTTGTGGGGTGAGGGAGTGAGAAAGTCATTTTAAGAAGGGAACATTTAAGCTGAGACCTGGAGAATGAAAAACGACCAGCTAAGGGAAGTGTGGCGTGGTAGAAGTGGGCCTTCTAAGCAGAATGAACAGCATTTCAAAGGCCTGGGGCTACAAGGAGCTTGGGAATATCAAAGGAAAAATAAAACTGAGCAAAATCCCTGGAGGCCAGGGCCTTATGAGTACAGCGAGAGTGACACTCCTTGAGGCTGGTGGACAGGGCCAGCTGATGGATGAGGCAGGGCCTTGCAGGCCATAGCAGTGAGAGTAGTTTTAAGTGCAATGGGAAGCAATTGGAGGGTTTTAATCAAAGGAGTAGCATGATCTTATTTGAGGTTGAGACTTCCATCTGTTCATCAAAATCCACTTGCCTCTTCTCCCTGGGCACGCATCCAGATTCCATATCCTGGCCTTCCTCGCACTTGGCTGCGAACCCTGTAACTGGATCCTGCCGAGGAAGTAAGTGGAAATGGTGAATGCCACGACCAGGGCTGGCTCAGAAAAATTTCCCAAGTGGGCTTCCTCATGCTGCTCTCCCTCCTGACTGGGCAGACTGGGAAGCCCGCACCGAGATGATAGAGCCACTGTCTCCCTGGGCCCCCGCATAGCTGTGTGGAGCAGAAACGTCTCCCGGCCAACCTAGAAGTGTCCTGAGCCTTCAAGCGAGGGAGAAAGAAGCACCTGATGTTTTGAGCCTTTGCATGCTTGGTCCATTTGTTACCACATTCCAGTTTGTCCAAGTTGATAGGATAATTTGAAAGGGAAATTCGGCTGCCATGCTATGTGAAGACGTGAGGCAGTGTAAACAAACAAGAGCAGTGGCTGAAGTTTATTATGATGTGGACTTGAAACATTTCAGTTGAAATAGATATTAGATAATTTTGGATGAAGAATCCACAGCTCCTGCTGATAGTTTGCTGTGTATAGTGAGATTGTAGAGGAAAAAAATCTTACCTGATTTGACTGTCAGCTGCCATATCAGTTACTTTCTGGACTTTCCATAGCATACCTCATCGACTACCTTTAAGCATGTACTTTATTTATTTGACTAGATTTAATCAAATGAGGGCAAATGAACTATGTCTTCGACAATCTTTTATTTTCTGTGGTGTCTAGTACAATGCTTTATATAAGCTACTTTTTTCATTAAACTTTGCTTAAATTGATAAAAGGGCACACGTTCATATTTTCTATCCATGGAGTTATTAGAGGTCGTGTTACCCAGCTCTTGCCTTTTCACTGATGTTGCCTGAATTTGACTTAAATTTTCTTTGATTTCTAAGTGAGATGTTTCATTGTGTTAAATTTTGTTTGACCTATGGCCTAGTGGGGGAAAGTAACATGGTGGGGCCTGGAATCTGAATGTTTGCCATAGAAGGTATGGGGAAATGTTTTGGGGGGCATGTGGGCTAATCCTCACTGCCTTCCCAGTCACTTTCAAACCCATTGCCCGTTGCTCAGAGGTACTGACTAGGTCAGTGGCGCCATTTCTACCCAGAGTCAGGAACTCATCTGGGAGAATCATTATGATCCATGGAAAGGGTCAAGATAGAGCGACTCTATGATCCAAATGAGCAATGATGAGGTGTGTGGTAACCCGACAATGATGAGGTATGAGGAAAAGGAAGTGTTAGTGGAAATAGGAGGATGAGGGAAGAATGGAAGAGACTTTACAGAACATGGTGACTCAATAGATTTGATGCAAAGAAAAGACTGGAATAAAAATGAGTATTGAAACTCCCCCACTGATGAACTTCAACTTATAAACTTATGTATCAACACACTTATGTTTCTAAGATAAAGCCAGTTCATGCCCCCTCCTACCAACAGATGATGTTAGTGATGGCCCTGGACATTTCAGCCTTGGGCCTGGTGCTGTTTTGTTAACTTGTTATATATTTACTGTGTCTGTACCTAGTTTGGATGTATTTTATGGACATTATTAATCCATCCGTGCCCAAGAAGGGAAAAGGCCATGAGTGTTGAAATTACTGGTAATAAGAGATAGAAGAATATGACCAGAATGTTGAAGAAATGAAAATGAAAATTGAAAAACATGAGAAAATATTGGAAATTGTGTTTGTAGAGGAGATGAATCCATTGACATTGAACAACTTTGGAGAGGAAAGAATGAATCATGCCACTTGTGAAAAATACTGTGTATTTTGCAGTACACGAGTAGGTAAAAAGTAATTTGCAAGATGGGAAAAAAAACCTCCAGTTATTGGAGTGTCTGTCTGGAAGAACAGCCTTTCTGCTGAAGGACAACTAGCCCAGTGTTCTTCTAAGTGACGGGCGGGCGTTTGGTCCAGATGGTGAGGACAGAGAATGGTGGGATTACTTTGGTGATGTTTTCGTACAAGACATGCCTCCATAGGTTCAAGGGCAATTTGTATGTGCACAGCATGAAGGTGGGTGTAGAAGGGGCATGTAGAGATGCCATAGCCTTGGAGAATTCCCTGTGAGGATTATCAAGGGGAAGAAGGGGAAGACCATACCGTGTGGTAGATGTCAGAATAGGAAAGAGGGGAAAGGTTTGAATGAAACAGAAAAGCTACAATCAGAGGCATATTTGCTGAAAGCATACCCTCATTGGTGAGGGGTACCTCCCTTTCATTTCTCTGTTGTTTGACACCGTAATGGCGGAGACACTCGACTGACAGTTATTAATAGAAGGGGCAAGAAACCCCTGCCTTGCCCAGATTCCGTGAGAGCCAGTGACCTCATGTGTGAAAATATAGAACAAGTTAATGGCTTCAGAAAAAAGATAAGACTTACATCTCTAAATCTGATATGTTTCAAAATAATTACAATTTCCACATTATTATTTATTCAATTTTGTTTTCAAATGAATGGCTAACATTTAAATAGATACTGCATATTGTTGTATGACCTTTAAATTATAAATATGACCTGCAACTGCTTGAATGTATGTGGACTTGATAAGGAACAACACATTTTAGACAAAAACCATCGTTTGTCTTCTGCTACAGTACTAGGTATAGCCCTGGTGCTTTCTGAGTAATCAAAA